TTTTATTTCAAGAACTGCCGGTATAATGTGAGAAAAATTTGCAGATTCCAATGCATCTCTTCTAGAAATTCGTCTTTGTCGCCCCCGTGCACGCAAAACTCACACAGACCTGTCTTTGAAGCCAAAGCTTTCCGGTCATAAAACGCCAGACGCTCTGTGTATTTCGGCAAGGGAGAATCGGGCTAATAATAAATGTGATTGCAGACATGGGGGCGAAAACAGGATTATGCTAAATAAATGATCTTTCTCCCTGTGACCGTGGCTAAAGAGGGTGCAGAGATGAGCGTTTGGGGTTGACTCGCTTCTGTTTGGGAATTCGAATTAGTCACGCCACGCAGGCTGCAAAACAAAAGAGGGGAAAAGGGAGCATGCAAATACTTCTACGTAGATTTTCCTGCTTTTTAAATCAAAGAATTATTTCAAAATGGCAAAAATGAAGTTCATTTGGTTCATTTATTAATTCATTTTTTAACTACTTAAAAAATTTAAAATTTAAAAAAAGCCAATTACTAAATTAATAAACCGCTTCTAACTTTCATCTTTTATTCTGTCATCTTCCTTTTGTTTTGTGATGGGCGTCCTTCCTGTAAAATTGGTAATGGTGGAAGTACCGAATTAAAACGTGACTTGAAAATTTTAAGTCAACAAACTAGTCATGCGCAAAAACATTTAAAATCTGTGTTTTCGTCCACAAAGCGAATCACGTGTTTGGTGTCCGTCATTGAGCACGAGATTTACGAACTCGACTGCTGCGCCCCGTCGATGCTTGGATCATTTCAAAACTGAAAATGCGGGAAAACGTGCGACGCAGAATAATCTTATCTGTCAAACTGCGCCTGTGAGTCTCTCGCTGCTCTGATTAAACCAACGACAAAATAAAGAGAGTTTGCTGCAAAGGGGACGAAACTTTGGTAAATTTTGTGCAAATATTTACGCGCAAAAAGACCTCATTGCGAGTAAACGAGCAGATAAAAGCCGCCGCTCGGACACGCCTGAAGTTCTGGGAATCAGCAGATAGATTTTTATTTTTCTTTTGACGTGTTTGGAATTGTTAAATGCATACGTGAGAACAATCAAAAATTCAATTTTCGGCCGCGCAGACCCGGCGCCAGACGTCCAATCAGTTTTGAATAAATCATTTTTTGTTTTTATATTCTTCGGCAGCACTTCTCTTTGCATTCTAAATCGAAAGAGGAATTTCTTCTGTCTGTAAGCGATGAGAAATTCCACTATGGGATCAGACAAGTACTACAAAAGTGATAGTTGTTGCCATTCGTTATAACTTTCTACAGCACAGTCAGCTGCCCTATCAGCTAATTAGTCAAACGCGTGTTTGGTTCTAACCAGCCCAATTATTTTTCTGTGGAACATAAAAGAATTATTTTCGTAATGAAAGGAGACGAAAGAAGAAGCACGTTCTCTAGGTTTAATTGCGGTTTTCTAGGTTTTTATGGACCTAATTTTCGCACCAATAGCCAAATCGGTGCATAATAGGCGTGCCTAAAAAAAAGTGTGCTGCGAGCTTTATCAGGCTTGCTTAATTGGTGATGTTTACTGCTTTGCTTTCCACCACTTTCTCAGATTATTATTATTATTTTTATATATTAAATTTATATTTTCTATTTTTAGCTCTACTTGATTTTTTCTTGATATTTAGTAAAGTTAGATAATTTGAACTAAAAAAAAATGATATAGCAATAATTATACCAGGAATAAGGATTTATATAAACGAGTAAAATTTGTTTATTGAGCTAAAAAATTGTTTGTATTTTTTTTTATCAGTTTTTTATCATCACTTTGACCAAACAGGTCAAAATTTTTGCATGTTAAAAATAAATCTTTAAATACTTTTTTCCACCTAAAACTTTAATTATTTTACGTAAATCTCAGTCAGTCTAGGATTTTTATTAAAAGTAAATCATACAAATTAATAAGAGCATTGTAATTTTTATATTTAATAGTGAATTTCTTAGCATTTTTTAGAGTCATCAAATAAATCTCTTTTAAAACTGTTTGTCTAACTTTCTTTTTTATTGGATGCAAAAAGCAATTATTCTGCATCGGAGCGTCCATTATCTAATTGCATCTTCATGCTAATTATTTCAACGGTGTGGTCACTGCAGTTTATTTAATTCAAGAAGCTTCTCCTCATTCAATTCACCATCAAGATAAAAAAATGCGGTGTTTTTATGTTGTTGAGATTCACCGTGCAAGCAAAACTTATTAGGCATCGCGGCGAGATCTCCGTCCAACGCCATCAGCCATTGTTGAATTAATGCATATCCTCGCCTCATCGAAATGCAAAACATGTGGCCAAAAAATTCAATTAAAAGAGTCTTCTTACTATGCCAAACAAAACCCTCGGTGTCATTAACCTCATTTCGCGCCAAGCCTTCTTGTACATCCCATTATAATGATTTGCAAAAAAACCTTTTGTTACACCCAACATATTCAAATCAAGCGGAGATTCCTGTTCTTGGAGGCGAGACAGAAAATAAGAAAGAAAAACTCCTTTGTTGATTGTATTATTTGTATTTTTAATAACGCACTACCCTCAATTCCATTAAATTTTTACAATCCAATTTTTTGTACTTTCTCCCCGTCGGCAACAATCAACCAGTGTCAATAACCAACGTCTCACTTTATACCCGTACCGGTAATTACTATTTTCAACGAGGAAATCATCGCTCCGACCGCACTAAACGGTAAATTTTGAGATTTCACCAAAGTGCTGAATAATTCAATCAAAGTCCGTGTGGAATGAGTGGCAAAAATCCGCCGCCGTGGTGCTTTATGCCTTTCTTTCTCATGAGAGAGACAACCGTTTCAGAAAATTTATACGTTTGGTCGTGGGCAGACAGACGAGCTCGTTGAACTCCTTCGCACCTCGGCAGCGCCGATAATGGGCAAATTAACGACTGCCTAGGTCGCACGGGCGGAATTTTATATCCCTTTCGACGCGCGAACAGGGTTTTGCCCTTTTTCCAAAGCATTAATTTCCCTCCCACCTTTTCAAATTTATTGCTTGCCCGTATTTAGCGTCGGAAGAAAAATTATATGTAAATTGGTCATGCACGAATGAGTGACACTTTTCTTTTGGCAAACCGGCGCCAATTATTTTTACTTCACATTTGCACGCGAGTGTACCAGTTTTAAAAAAGACACTACCTTCTCGCGTTTCATTAATTTTATAGCCAGTTTCCTTTTTCATTTGAGAAAATTAGCTTCATTTGTATAATATGAACGAGGGTTTTTGCATACATTAAGATGCAAATAAGAGATGCGGAGTGGGTTGATTTCAAAAGGAGTAAGCGGCGGCGTATAAAATTAATTTAATGTCAATTTGCTTGGAAATTATGCGGCGAGGTGACGCCGATTTGCTGGCGCGTGAATCTCATTAAAATTAAATCAGATAGAAACGTTGTTATATCGGGACCGGTTCCGTTACCTTTATTATATTATCTCTTATTGCACTAACTGCATTATTCTATATTTATTGATTTCTTTATCAATAAAGAGACCAAGCCTATTTACTATTAATTACCGATCCGGCCAGGTTTCCCCAATCTATATGCAAATAGGCCTAGAGCCATTTGAAAGTACCTCGGTTTATCAAAATACCAAAGCCCTCTCTATTACTTGTTGTTCATTTAGTGTTCCTATTATTATTATTACCTTTCACCTGCCTGCTCGAGAGAGCCTCGGCGATCGCAAGCAAAGTCAGTCTTGCACATGCACTCGCCGAGGCAGTGGTGTTGCTAAGTACTCAATAAAAGTATCCAAACAGAATCAGCGCCTTTTTGTGAGTTCGAATCATAACAGACTTTTTGGTGGCAGCGGTGGGATTCTAGGGTGTCAACGCTCGAGAGCTAACCCTGAAGAGAATCCTAAAGATCGTCTCGAACCACAGATTGTGCCTGTAACTCAGCGAAGGTAACCTGAGTTGTTTGGAGTACTTTTGGTACACAAGAGGAAGTGTGCAAAGTGGAGACAACGCTCGAGGGCTATCTCCGTGCAACACCTGCGTGTGCAAGTTAGTTTCCACGAACTGAGTTATAGATCGTGTTGAAGCGTGAACTCCGTGCTGAAGGAGTTTGGGTCGTGCAACTAGAAGACCGAGATCCTCGGCCACATCAATTCCCAATCGCAACTGAAGGATGTTCATCATCTCATCTGCCGAACAAGTTTGTTAGCAAGAGTCGCCTGAAGATCGAGGTCAAAGGTACCGGTGCTACATGCTGTTCGTTTTCTCCATACTCGTTCCGTAAGCAAACATTGACAATATGAATTTTGAGACAAATATATCTAAGGAAGAAAAGGCGCGCAAAAAGCTGCAGGCGCTCCTTAGAGCCAAAGCGCGCCATAAATCTGAGGAACTGGACGTAACAGAATTTTACGATGAAGCTGATGAGCTTGATATAGTTTCGAAGATAATGCATTTTGAAACCGAGGAACACGCTACTTTGTCCGTAGCGATCCGGAGGCGAGCGGTGCAGGCAGCGATCCGGATGCGAGCGGTGCAGGCAGCTCTCGAAGGAAAGGAACTGACCTTCTACGTTGAAGAGCGAGAGGGAAGAGTTATTCTTCATTTCGAGACCACAGAGAGAGAAGATTCTGAAGATAATTACACTCTCTCCCAGAGTGCAAATCAAGACCGAGAAACAACAAAGGCTGCACGAATAGAAACTGCGAGACAGAACAGAGCTGCAAAGAGAGCTCGCAGAGCAGCGCGCAAGGAGACGCAGACGACTTCTGAACGAGAGGCTGCAGCACGAGAGGCTGCTGCGCGAAAAGCTGCTGCGCAAGAGGCTGCTACTCGAAGGGCTGCTGCACAAGAGGCAGCTGTACGAGAGGCGGCTGCGCGAGAGGCGGCTGCGAGAGAGGCTGCTGCGCAAGAAGTGGCTGCGCGAAAGGCTGCTGCGCGACAGGCGGCTGCGAAAGAGGCTGCTGCGCGAGTTGCTGCTGCTCGAGAGGCAGCTGAGCGAATAGAAGCAGAGTCCATGGCAGTCCTACGGGAGATTTATGATAGGCGACACGCTGCTGCGCGAGAGGCTGCTGAAGCAGCTGCACGAGAGGCGGCTGCGCGAGAGGAGGCAGCGCGAAAGGAGGCTGCACGAGAGGAGGCTGCGCGAAAGGCTGCTGCGCGACAGGCGGCTGCGAAAGAGGCTGCTGCTGCCCGAGCGGTAGCTGAGCGAATAGAAGCTGAGTCCATGGCAGTCCTACGGGAGATTTATGATAGGCGAAACGCTGCTGCGCGAGAGGCTGCTGAACACAAGGCAGCTGCGCGAGAGGCGGCTGCGCGAGAGGAAGCTGAGGTGCGTCATGCGGCTGCGCGAAAGGAAGCTGAGGCGCGTGAAGCTGCTGCGACTCGTGAGGCTGCTGCGGCTGCGGCTCGAGAAGCTGCGCCTACAATGGTACAGAAGCCTGATGAACACTTGAAGCCTGCCAAGTATGAGAAGAGGGAAAAGGATGAGGCGGCCGCTGCGTGTGAAGAGGTAGTCAGCATAAAGAAAAGGGTATGGAAAAGGAAAAAGGCAAGCAGACAGAAAAAAGTAAGCAAGAAAAATGTTAAGTGTCACCTTTCTAAATACGAGCAAGAGCCTGAAGAGGTGCAGCGAGAGCCAGAGGTTCTGTACAAACTAGAGGTGCAAAAAGAGCCAGAGGTTTGTGATGAGATAAAGTCAAAAGAAGAGTCTGAGGCTCGCAACGAGCTGGAAGAGAAAGGAGAGCCTATAACGCAGCTCGTGGCGAAAGAAATTCCAAAGTTTCGAGACAAGCCTGCCGAACGAGAGAAGCCTGAGGCGCTAGAGGAGCTAAATACAAGAAAGACGATCAACGACCCTAGTGTACTTCTGTGTAGCAAAAGTGCAGCTGTTGTGCTGCAAGATGTTCCGGAAGGGACACCTGAAATGCTGCAAAAACCAGCAAACGGCGACCAGTTTGTGGCGTTCAAAGATTCTGTGCAGATCAAAGAGCCCGTGATATTTGACAAAGCCAATGTCTTCAACGAGTTTCTTCAATCCGACGAACCTGTTTCTTCCAGAGTGTCACCTGATGCGTCCAACAAATCTGAGGTGTTCGACGAACCTGGCTCACCAGTGAGCGAAAATCCCGAAGTGAGTGACGAAATCAAATTATATGAACATTCCCGAATTGACAAACAAAAGTCTGCAGAGCTTAACAAAATACCTGCATCTGTTCTTGATGTAGTAAGTGAGAAATCTAAAAGCTTTGATTTTATTTCTTTTGCCGATACAAATATGTTAGCATGTGAAAACGAGAGAGGCTATGAGAATGTGTTAAGTCAAATTTTTGATACATTGATTGACAAATATTACTATTCTCCTGGTAGAAAGTTAGGGAAACTATTTACTGGTAAAGACAATGAAATGAGTGTTTCCGAAAGTGACCTTGCAAAACGCATACGCCGACAATTCAAAAATCCATCTAGCCGGCCTCCGCAATGGCGAATTAAATAACAATCAGTGGCTGACTGTGAACTGTGGTAAAAATGAAAAGAGAAAGTGAAATTTGCATACCTCCACCCCCTGACCGAAAACCGAAAATACTTCTCTCTGCGTCAAGTCATATCAAGTCAACTCGAAATACGACTGAGTTTTAAGTTATCAAACTAACTTATGCATAATAACAATAGTGGTGAAAAAGTCGAGTGTTCGGTGCTCGTTAAGCAAAATTTATGTTGCGTGTGCCTTTTTTTTCCAAAAACCAATTTGCCGATCCTAAATTACGGTGCGATACTTGCAAAGCTTGTGAAAATTATATGTAGTGCGCACTTCCAACAACCACCCGCATTTATTTACGTATTCTTGCCATTCTCCTGTATCCTATTCCCAGCCTGTACCAATACCAAGAATGAATATTCTATTTCAATTCCAAAAACAATCCACTCTTAAAATCTTCTCTTTACTCAGTTTTATATTCTTAAATTTTTCTTTTTTATATGCACTCTGAATGAAATGATATTATTGATTGTTTTAAAGAATTTAAACATTGGTTTTGGGATGTAATTAATTTTACTCGATATGCGTTATACCTTTCAAGTTTTTTTATCTTGATATTCGTTCGCTATTTTGTTCACTATTTAAACCCTTTTTAGACATTATTAGTTATTACCTCTTGTTATTTCTATTTTATTATCCGACCTAGAAATTTTTCTGAATTAAAAAAAAAAAAAAAAAAAAAAAAAAAATCCTATTTCAGCTTTAGAATACTAAAAAATTCCGATTTTTCACACTTAATTAAAACCTACTGTAACCATATACCATCAAGAATTAACTGCAAACTTACAATGTTTTGACTTTAAAATGACATATCCCTTTCGTTATTCCTAAATTGCATGACTCAAAAATCATCTGGGTTAATTTCTTAATAAAAATTTAATTTCCTAAGTGACCGCTGATGCTACACCTACCGCTACCTAAACTGTAAAAAAAAAAAAAAAGTATTATATGTATTGTTTCTTTATATAATATTGTTCATTTAAATTGTACTAATATTGGATTTCTTTAATTTTTCCTGTGAAAATTCTATTGATTGTAATCGTTTGTGCAATAATAGAAAGAATATAATTAACGGAAATTAACGGAACTCATATTTAGTAGAGCTGAATTCCATCTTCGAAAGTCTGAGGACAGACTTTCATCTTGCGCGTGGGGTGTTATATCGGGACCGGTTCCGTTACCTTTATTATATTATCTCTTATTGCACTAACTGCATTATTCTATATTTATTGATTTCTTTATCAATAAAGAGACCAAGCCTATTTACTATTAATTACCGATCCGGCCAGGTTTCCCCAATCTATATGCAAATAGGCCTAGAGCCATTTGAAAGTACCTCGGTTTATCAAAATACCAAAGCCCTCTCTATTACTTGTTGTTCATTTAGTGTTCCTATTATTATTATTACCTTTCACCTGCCTGCTCGAGAGAGCCTCGGCGATCGCAAGCAAAGTCAGTCTTGCACATGCACTCGCCGAGGCAGTGGTGTTGCTAAGTACTCAATAAAAGTATCCAAACAGAATCAGCGCCTTTTTGTGAGTTCGAATCATAACAACGTTATAAAAAGTAGCAAATCATTGTTATTCATTTGAATCAATTTTTCTGTAGAAGAAAAATACAATTCAGTCAAATTTGAATATTATCTATTTCTGAAACAATCATCTTTAATTTTTTTTTTAATTTACCGTAGAAATTTTATTTTCTATAATCTTCTATCAATTTTTCATAACATTCATTACATTAAATCAGTTATTTAAGATTAAAACATATTATGATGTTGCGATATTTTTAAATAAATTTCGGCATTTCATTGCGCGCACATTAAAGAAAATATATTCGAATTATGGTTTAATTTATAACCACAACAGAATTGCGATCTATCATCCCAATAAAAAAGCTCGATAATATTTCTACTGAGTTGTAGGAGTTAGATTAATTCTTATCAAAAAAAGTTGATTATTGTTCGAAATGAATGTTGTGAATAATGAAACATCAAATTCTGTATAATCAGTTATTATCAAGTGAAATTAATTTGATTTTGGTAAGAAAATTACTAATAAAAAATGAAAATAAAAATTCATGTTTTCCAACTTATTGAATTTTATTTCAATTTAATACAGGAAAAACGCGAAAATTTGTTCAAGTTTACCAAGGAATCGAACTTCACTAAAGAAATTAAAATGTACTCAATACATTATTCTATTGTTATATTTTAAATATTATTTCAAGACGAATTTTTTCCTTTTTGGTAACAATTTTTTTCCAGAGAGATATCAATAAATCCGGCGAACAATGGGATCCATTTATCAACTGACGAGATAACGAACTGTGAGCATCTGCCGAATTCTCCTTTCTGGGAAAAGTGTTGCCGTTACACACGCAGTATGCGAATCCATTACATATCTTTTGTCTTCGATCTCGAGAAAAAATCACTGCTTCGAGGCTGCGGAATCCCATTGTCCGGCGAGAGCAGGGAACGGTTTGGATGCATGTAATTATTTCAAGAATAAGAAAAATAATAAAGAATCTGGGAGGAAAAAAGTGTTGCGCGGCGCCACGTCGGCAGCCGCGGCTGGGAAAAGGCATGGCTGGCGACAGAACGGCTTATTGCTCATGCCCATGTCTTTGTTAGGATGTGCCTTGAATCCAAATGGAACACAATCGATGTGACTCACAAAAGTAGTGAGAAACAATGAGAAACGCTTGCATTATACCACAGTCGTCCTGCAGTTACACAATCGCTTGGATTTGTCGCCACCTCGAGTAGAGGAAAAGGAAATTGCACTTTCGTTCTTGGGTGCACCGAAGAGCGCACGGAAGTGTGACTTGTTTGTTACGTGACACTTCCGACAGAAATCGCATGTCTCCGTCTGCAATTTTTGACACTTTCAAGCTTGAAATCCGGCTCGAAACAACTTTCCTTGTTGATTAGAAAACAAATTTTTCATTTTTATCTATGTCTGCCTATGTTAACCATCTGTAGTTTTTAACTACAATTTAATATATAAATAATCTATTCTGTATATTCTGTAATATGTATGTCAAACTCATTGAAAAAATTTGATTAAAATAAACATATAACTAAATATAAGTTTAAATAAAAGAAATTTTAAATAACATGATAAAATAAATTAAAACGGCAAAAAAATGTAAAATTAGGTTATTTAAAATATATATTTCAAGTAATTATTAAATTATATTTTTAAAAATAAAATTTTTTAAATTTTAAAGTAATTTTTTTAAGGTCTTGTCTTTGAAAACCGTGTCTCGCGCTGATCCGAAAAATTCACATTCCTCTGCTGCACCGACCATATACAATATTTATTTTCTCACCCGCGAAGTTGAGAATGAGAGAATCGCCTGCTGCTGATGTGTACCTGCCGCGAGAGAACACAAAAGCTGCAAAACGTTAATTCCCATGGCAAATACAAAAACGAGTTTTTTGCTCTTACGCGCGGCATTCAAGGTTGTACACAAGTCACACATATCGCCGACCGACGACGATTATGCGCCCGAGTCGCGCCGCTCTGCCTAATAAGTTGTGCCGATGTCACTTTTGCACGCAGGGAAAGATTGAGATTATGAAATCGAGTGGAGAGGAAGTGGCATGCATAATTGGCAGACACAGCTTTCATGTCGGAAAGGTTCTTGGAAGCAGTGATCGCGCTAATATTGTTAAATTATGACATATTGCCCACGCCAAAAAGAAGTGAGCAAGTTTTTTTTAAATAACTCGACCTGAAGTTGTCTTTATCTATTTTTTGTAACCTATCAAAAAATGAAGTTTATTTGTTCGTAGATTTTAAGACTGTTTAAAAATTTGCGAAAAATGCGAAAATAAGCAAGCAAAAATGGTCTGCTTTTAACAGGGGAGTTTGAAAAGAATTTTGGTTTTATGCTACAAAACAACGGTTAAATTCCAGATCACCACTAATTTAGGCCAATTTTAGTCGATTAAAACTTAAAATATATTATTCTGCATAAACAGAAAAATAACTGCGTGGTTTTGTAAAAAAAAACTGAATATTTTGTTGTTTTGAATTAAATTGATATATTTGGGATATAAAAAATGGAATTACTTGTACATTTTTTATTATAATTGTGAAACATTGCCATTTTTCTTAATTATTTAGATTTACTCTAACTTTAAAATGGGAAAAAAACTGAAATTATAATGTCCTTCTTGTATGGTGTGCTTTTTTAAATATGTTTTGCATTTTTGCAAATAATTAGTTACATTTTTCTTTGCTCTGATCCGATGTTTTATCATCAGTAAGAGCAGTTGCTGTCAATACCTCTTGTAAAAAGATCAAAATGCAGATTATACGGCTGGTTTGAGTGCCTGATTAAGTAACTCGCGTTCTCCAGCGTAGGCAAAAAACGTAATCCATGTTCGCGCAGCAGATAAATCGGTGGGCCAATCTGATTATACAAACGGCAGCAAAAAGAAAAGTGCCTTTGTTTGTCGGCAGCAGCAGCTCGAAATCAATTAAGGCGCATTAAACCGACGGCGCTCCCTTTAAGTCCTTTTTTTATCAAAATAAAACCAAAAGGGAGAGGCGCCGTTGAGACTATTGTTTTTTTTTTAATTGTTATGGTGCAGCTTCGAATGTCACAAAATTCATTTCCCCATTTATTTTATTATTTGCCCGAATTCTGGCGATTGTCACGCGCGTCAAATCTGCAGA